AGGGGGTGCGGGTCGCAGGCTCTGAACGGGGACCAGGGCGGGGAGTCGAGGAGAAGCCCCGGGAGGAGGAGTGGCTGGGTCACCTCCGCTCTGAATGACCTTGCCCGGGTCCCTCGTGCTTCTTGGGCCCCAGTGTCATTTGTTGAGCAATATTTATTGGGTCCTTACTGTGTACCAGGCTCTGACGTCGCCCGGGGACTGGGCTTCAGTTTCCTCATTTGTAGAACTGAAGGTGAGAGCCAGGAGTTCTCCCAGGACTGCTATGGAGGAGTAATGCCAGAGAGGTGCTCAGCATGGGCCTGGCATTCAGTGAACCATTTCTGGCACTCACCTCTTTGCCTAGTCTAGTGAGTCCAAGCTCCATTTTACAGAAGAAGAAGCTGAGGCTAGAATCCAGGCCTCCTTACACTTTTGCCATTGTTCAGATCCAGTGGAGAAGAGCAAGCACCCAGTGGGCCAGCAGGGTGTGTTTCTGGCAAGGGAGGGTGAGCATTGGCAGGGCCCACTGGGGGCTTTTCTTGCTGAGGGAGGCAGGAAGTACCTTCCCCCACCCTCATCTAGGCACCTCTCAGGTACCTGTACAGGCTTGTCCAGCCCAGACCTGGGTGGGGCAGGTGGGGCTAGCAAGAGCAAAGGTCACCCCTCTGGCCCCCACAGCCCCCCAGCTGGCTTGTTTTCCCAGGAGCAGCAGTGAAGTACAAAACCTTGTTTTCAGCCAGGATCAGCCTGACTAGAAAATGGACTTTGGATTTCTTAGCAGGCTCAGATGGGGCTTGCTTACTGAAGCCAGTAGATGGGGGAGGGGGAGTAAAAGGTTTTTCAGGTGGTGCCCTAATCTTTTTTGAGGTCTAGGGAGGTGAGGGCCTTGCCAAAGTTGGCATAGCCAGTTTGTAGAGGCTCAGCGTCCTGGCGTTCTCAGCATCCCTTGGCCGCCTCCTCCCTACCTCCATTCTTTCAGTCACTACACAGATGTGTTTATCAGACATATACTGAGTGCCTGGCTCTGGGAGCACAAGAATGAATAGGCTAGAATTCTGTCCTCTCAAGAGACTTGAGAAGAAGTGTAGACTTGAGGGACTCACCCAGGGAGGCCATGAACTGTGCCTAGGGTCTTTTTTTTTTTTTTTTAATATATCTTTATTGATTTCAGAAAGAGGAAAGGAGGGGGAGAGAGAGAGATGGAAACATCAATGATGAGAGAGTCATTGATTGTGCCCGCAACCTGGGCATGTGCACAGACTGGGAATCAAACCCGGATCGCCTGGATCCTAGGTTGACGCTCAACTGCTGAGCCACGCCCGGCGGGGCAAGGGTCTTTTTATTTTTTTTTTATTTTTAATCCTCACCCAAGAAGTGAGGATATTTTTTTCCATTGATTTTTAGAGAGAGAGGTAGGGAGAGGGGGGAAAGAAAGAGTGGAAAGAGAGAAACATCAGTGTGAGAGAGACACATCGATTAGTTGCCTCCTCCATACACCTGGACCTAGGGTAGGGATCAAACCTATAACCCAGGTAGGTATGTGCCGTTGACGGGGAATCAAACCCATGACCCTCCAGTGCACAGGCTGACGCTCTAACCACTGAGCATGCTGGCCAGGGCTAGGGTCTTTTTTTATGTTTCAAATGACCCAGTGCTGTCTGAGTGAGGGGGCACTGAGGTCTGGCTACTGCCTCCCTCCTGATCTCTGTTCCCATACTCTTCCCTTTACTTGATTCTAGCCACACTGGCCTTTGAACTCATGGATCATAACCAGCTCTGTGCTGCCTCAGAGTCTTTGTCCATGCTGTTCCCCTTGCCTGGAACCTGGCTTACCCCCTCAGATTTACCTGGTTGGCTCTTACTTATATTTTAAGTCCTAGTTTAAATGTCACCTTCTCAGAGATGCCTTTCCTGACTCCCCTCTCAATAGTAGGTCTCTCTGATTATTTCATTGCATCTCACTCCATTCCCCCACAGTACCCACCACATCTTCTTGTATTTATACACTTTGTAACTTTTTAATAAAGTTTTAAAAATTGATTTTAGAGAGAGAGAGGAGACGGAAAAGAGAAACATCGATTTGTTCTTCCACTTATTTATGCATTCATTGGTTGATTCTTTTTTTTTTTTTTAAAATATCTTTATTGGTTTCAGAGAGAGGAAAGGAAGGGGGGGAGAGAGAGAGAGAGAAACATCAATGATGAGAGAGCCATTGATTGGCTGCCTAGTCTGCAACCTGGGCATGTGTATGTGCTCTGACCAGGGATCAAACCTGTAACCTTGCCATATCAAGACAACACTAACCAACTGAGCTCCAAGGCCAGGGCCTTTAACTTTTCTCATCTGTTTCCTCACTATCCTGCAGGCTCCATATCTGGCGGTTTCTCCATTTGATCCCTAGTGCCTGGCTCTTTGCCTGTCACATAGGAGCTGCATGATAAATATTTGTTGAATAAGTCAATCAGTCAAGATTTTGGTAGTGGAACTAGTACCAAATCAGAATGAACCTGTCTCCCAGTGGGCCATGGATAAGCACAGAAAAATATACCACAAGTCCAAAGCTCTATTAGGAGGAATGCTTAATTAATCAAACACCCAGCCCATGGAGATGACTCCCTTGCCCAGGATCCATAAGGAGGACGTGCTCTTAGGATTATTTTTCAGTGGGAACATCAGAGTCCTCAGTATTCTCCCTCCCTCCCCACAAAGAGGGAGGCTGGTAAATTGAATGCAGTGTTGGTATATCTATGTGTGTATATATACAAATGTTATGTGATTCAACAGAAAGAAATTTAAGATAAGAGAAGAAAGATCACATGGAGTAGGGGTGTCTTCAGGCCCATCTGGGGGCAAGAGATATGAAATCTGGCACATTGGTGCCTTCCTGTCTCTGAGGTGGCAGGGAAATGTGCTAAAAGGAGTGGCCTTGTTCAGATTCCAGCTTTACCACTTATATACTATGTGACCTGAGTGGGGTACTTCACCTCTCCCAGCCTCACTTTTCTTTTCTGTAAATTGGGAATGAAAATAGAACTGACATTAGGGAATTAAGTGAGAATATGTGCAAAGCCCTCAACACAATGCCTGGGACATAGTAGGTGCTCAGTAAAAAGGGATCTTGGTTGTGGAGTGGAGAGATTTAATTTGGTTCTCCCAAGACATGGCCTCTCCCTCACAATTATCCAAGTCGTTCACTTCCTTTATTAGTTTTGGCTTCCTAGTCCCCCGACAATAGAATGTTGTATTCTGAATTCTGGCCTCTAGAAAGGTATAGTACTCATTGTAATGTGGACTGTGGTGAGTTTATCATTTGAGACTCTTAGCCAGCTGCTACCCTCCTTAGTTGCTTTCTTTTTTTTTAAAAAATGTCTTTATTGATTTCAGAGAGAGGAAGGGAGAGGAAGAGAGCGAGAAACATCAATGATGAGAGCATCATTGATCGGCTGCCTCTTGCACAGCCCCCACTGGGGATGGAGCCTCTGACTGGGAATAGAGCAGTGATCACCTGGATCATAGGTCGATGCTCAGCCGTTGAGCTATGCCGGCCTGGCCTTAGTTGCATTTCTTGATACAGCAGGCTCTACTTGGGAAGTCATTTTCTTCTAGGAACCCTAGTTTCTCAACTGAAAAGTAGGTAAAAACCCAGCCCCGTGTTTCCTGCTTACTGAGTTTTGTGTAAGTCAAAAGCCAGGAAAGTTCATTGCAACCTGTGAAGCTTTAATTCTGATCGTCTATGAGGACCTCCTTTCTTCGTGCTTCAGTTTCCCTATCTGTCTCTACTGCCTCTTTTTGGGGGGTTGGGCTTCAAAATGATGTCTTTAAAGTAATTGTTCTGGAGGTGGAGCCAGGGAGATGCCTAGAATTCTGGAAACAGCTAAGGCAATCCCTTGGCTTCCTCTTTGAGCGCCTCGCCAGGTAAGCTTGGAGTGGCAGGTAAATGTGTGCCCTCTGCTGGCCGGGGCAGGAGATAAACCCTGGGAAGTGGGGAGAACCATGGTGGCGCAGGGAGATGTTTCAGAGAGGAGTAAATGGAAGGGGATAACTAGAAGGGTCCATATGTGAACAGATCACGAGGGGGCTAAACAGTTCCCATGTTAGTGCTGCGCTTGGAATGCAGACGGAAGGACAATCTGCGGTGCGGTTGATGGTTCCGCCTTCTCTGGATTCTGGTCCATTTGGTTTGTCCAGGAGCGCTTGTCAACAACTTCAGAGGACCCGGGCGAAGAGCGTCCTGGGAAATGTAGTTAAAAGGCGTGCTCTGCGCGCAGCAGTCCGTTGCCCTCGGAGGCGAGGGGACTCCATTTCCCAAGGTGCCTCGGCTCGGGGGTGCGGAGGGCCGCCGTGGCGTCCGCCCCGGGCCGAGGCTTCTGCTGCCGTGGGCTAGTGTCCGTGCGGCCTGGTCCGGGCCATGTCTGCGTGAAGACGCCGCTGCTGCCGCCCCCTTCCCACCCCGGTCCCGGCCGGCCCCGGCCAGGCCCGCCGCGCACCATGGGCTCCATCCTGAGCCGACGCATCGCGGGCGTGGAGGACATCGACATTCAGGCGAACTCGGCCTATCGCTACCCACCGAAGTCCGGTGAGCAGCTGGCCGGGCGCGGACGACGAGGCGCGGGCTTGGCGGCAGGGGGTCGGGCACGGCGTGCACGCGCGGGGCCCTCCGCGCTGGGGTGGGCTGGGGGGATCTACTGGGTCCCGGCTCTTCCTGCCGCCTCCCTGCTCGGAGCTCCGCGCGCCCGCCTCCCGGATGCTGGGGCGTGTGTGCGTGTGTGGCCCTGGGCTGACCGCCTCGTCCAGGCTGGGTGACCTTGGGTCAGTCACTTCGCCCCTGAGTGCCTCAGCTCCCTGTCTGCACCTTGGGAAGACCCTCGGGAAACTCCTAGGGGCGTAGGGCCCCGGTGAGGTTGAGGGCGCGATGCTGGCGAGGGGTTCGCACGGTACCAGGCGCTTCGCTTGTGCTTACAAAGTGGTCATTGTCGTAGTGACATCACACCATCGCCGGTTTTGGCTCTCTGTGGTGGCTTGGTGTGAAGACCCAGCCAGTGGTTTAGGACACTCTCCATCCCGTATGGACAGAGGCTTAGCTCTTCTGTGACCTCCGTGCCTGGGTATGGTGGGGAGAGTGGGGCTGGGCCCAAGGAGATGATTATAATCAATGGAGAAGAGTCTGGGAATCTTGCTGGGGAACAGGAGAATGGTTGGAGAGGACCTCTGGGTTCTCTGGTCTCCTTTTTTTGTGACCAGAGACCTGAGCCACCAGGGTGGGTGTGGCTTTCCCAAGGTCTCAGAGCTGAATGAAAGCACATCTGGGACCAGGAGTCCAGCTCCCAAAGGAGTTGTTCCCACTCTGTTCTGCTGCCTCTCATGGCGAGCGTGGCCTGACCAAGAACTTTGGCTCCAGTTCCTTACTGGTCGTCATCTCATCTGGTCATTTGCCATGGAAAGGCGAGAAGAAAGGGGATAAGGAGTTTGGACATCATGGGGACTTTCATGTTGGGTCCTCTGATCCTGGCTTCTGAAGCATCTGATCCATGTGGTCTTCCAGGCCTCACAGTTGGCCTGTGGGCATCCACCAGGCCAGATTTCCTCTGAGTGTAGTTCAGGATCACCTGCTCCCACCAAGTGGGGAAGCTTGTGAAACATGCGGTTCCCAGACCCTGCCTCAGACCTGCTGGGGGCCTAGGAACCTGCATTTAAAAAACAGTCCCCAGGTGAGTCTGATGTCCACTCAAGTTTGGGAACTGCTCTGTCCTGATTTTGGAAGGTGAAAGAAGTGAAGTGTCTGGGGCTACTGGAAATAAAGGAGGTGGAGGTGGATTTAGGACTAAAGTCGGAAGGGGATGCAATCAGAACTGGAAAAAGGTACTGCTGCCTACTAGTTGGGGAGATCTCCATGCCTGATTGTGTCGCAGGCACAAGGGCAGGGCACCCCAGCCTGGTTTGGGGTTCCCCTGGGGGCTCTGGGGTCTGACTTCCTCAGACCTGATGGAGTAGTTTGAAATCATTCGTTTCCATTGCTGATGTTTTTCCAGCCTGTCTTTAGCTGAGTGACCTTAGGAAAGTTGCTTAGCCCTCTGGGTCACAATTTCCTCCTCTGTAAAGTGGGCTAGTCCTTGTACAGTACCCAGAATAGTGCCTGGCACTTAAGAGGTCCTGGAAAAGTATTCGCTGCTATAATGACTTAAGAAGGAAATCAGGTGATCAGCTCAGACCCTAATAGCAGTTAGCATTGGTAAGGCGGAAATATCAAAAAGTTTAATGTGGCACCTCCTGTCACCTGGGAGCAGAGCAAACTTGTTCTCCCTTCGCTTGGACCTTTGGACAAAACCACAAATACAAGCCATTTACAGCGCCGTGTTCAGGTTCTGAGTGGCAGACCTTGCTAATCAGTCTGGACACTCTTTCCCTCTGAACCTGGACTTGGTTTCAGAATCCACCAGTGAACACCCCAGTCAACCATGACTAGTAGATAGGGGCTGACACCCCGGTGAATGCCGTGGGCCACCTTGGTTTTGCTGCCAGCGACAGCAGTGTTTGGGGGCCTCTCCAGTCCAAAGGCTGTCCTTTCTGCTTCCTCATCCCTTGTTTAGAGAGGGTCAGTTGGAGGTGAAAGGGACCTTAGCAGTACTTTAGTATGTTTCCCCAGCGGTGGACTGGGGACCGCAGGGGAGTTTGAGACCATTTTAGTTGGTGCCCCCATGGACCTTTCAGTTGTTTTTATGAGAAAGTTGTTATCTTTTCAGGCTTCTGGCAGTTTTGTCAGTTATATCAAGGAGAAAGAATCCTTGGGTGCTAATAATTTTTAATTTAAAAAAAATTTTCTTTTCACATTGCTTTTCAGAGAGAGTAGAAGGGAGAGAGAGAGAGAGAGAGAAACATCGATGTGAGAGAGACACATCAAGTGGTTGCCTCCCGCATGTGCCCAGGATTGAGTCTGTAGCCAAGGTACGTGCCTTTGACTGGAATGGAACCTGGGACCCTGCAGTGCACAGGCTGACGCTCTAACCACTGAGCCAAACTGGCTAGGGCATGGTGCTAATAATTTTTAAACACCTCTAACACTGTCCAGTTTTTCACCCAGCTTTATTAACATATAATTGGGCCCCGGTTGGGTAGTTCAGTTGCTTAGAGCATCGTCCTGATATACTAAGGTTGTGGGTTCCATTTCCAGTCAGGGTATATACAAGAAGCAATCAGTGCCCGGCTGCCATGGCTCAGCGGTTGAGCGTCGACCTAGGATCCAGGCGATTGGGGTTCGATTCCCGGTCAGGGCACATGCCTGGGTTGCGGGCTTGATCCCCAGTCGGGGGCGTGCAGGAGGCAGCCGATCAATGACTCTCTCATCATTGATGTTTCTGTCTCTCTCTCCCTCTCTTTTCCTCTCTCTGAAATCAATAAAGATATATTTAAAAAAAAAGAAGCACTCAGTGAGCTGTGGCCAGTGTGGCTCAGTGGTTGGAATGTCGTCTCATGCATGGAAAAATCATGAGTTTGATATCAGGTCAGGGCATATGCCCAGGTTGCTGGTTCAGTCCCCAGTCAGTGTGTGTGCTGGAGGCAACCGATCGATGTTTCACTCTCACATCAGTGTTTCTCTCTCTCTCTCTCCCCCTCCCTTCCTCTTTCTCTAAAAACCAATAAAAATTATTTTTTAAAAAGGGAAGCAACTAATGAATGCATCAATAAGTGGAACAACAAATCAATGTTTCTATCTCTCCCCCCCTTCTCTCAAATCAATTAAGAAAAAAAAGATATAATTGACAGACAATGTTGCGTAACTTTAAGGTATACAAGTGTGATGATTTGATAAATGTATATATTGGGAAATGATTACCACAGTAGGTTCGTTAACACATTCATCCCCTCAGTTACTTTTTGTGTGTGTGGAGAGAACTTTTAAGATTTCCTGTTCAATTTTTTTCTTGCTTCTGGGATTTTGAGCATGCAGTGCAACAGTACTTAGCTTGAATTTAATCACATTTGCTTCTTTGTTTTCATTGTATTTATTTTCTCTTAACACCTTTATTGGGGTATAATTTATGTGCCTTAGAACTCATCCATTGTAAACATACAGTTTGATTTTTTAGTAAATTTATAGAATTGTGCATCCATCACCACAATCAGTTTTAGACATTTACATCACCCCCCCAAAGTTTCCTCATGCCCCTTTGTAGTCCGTCCCTACCCACATCCCAGCACTAATCTGCTTTCTGTCTTTAAAAGTTGCCTTTTTTAGACATTTGACATAAACAGAATCATACAACATGTAGTCTATTTTGTGTCCGGCTTCTGTCACTTAGCATAATGTTTTTGAGCCTGATCCATGTTGTAGTGTGTACTTTATTGTATGGACATAGCGTATTTTATCTAGTCACCAGTTAATGAACATTTGGGTTATTTCTACTTTTGGACTATTGATGAATAATGCTGCTATGACTATTTGTGAACGTTTGTGTGGTCTGTTGATTTCTCTTGGGTAGATACCTCGGAGTGGAATTGCTGGGTTTTAGGGTAATTTGATGCTTAACCTTTTGAAGAACTGCCAAATTGTTTTCCATAGTGCGTGTTCCATTTTACATTTATTCCCATCAGTACTGTGTGAGCATTCCAATTTCTCCATATCCTTGTGTGTCTCTTATTTATTTAAAAACATTGGTTGTTATTTCACTTATTTATGTGTTCATTGGTTGATTCTTGTATGTCCCCTGACCAGGGATTGAACCTGCAACCTTGGCATATCAGGATGATGCTGTAACCAACAGAGCCACCTGGCCAGAGCTGTCTTTTTAATTATAGCCATCCTAGTGGGTGTGATGTGGTATCTCATTTGGTTTTGATTTGCATTTACTTGATGATTGATGATATTGAGCATAATTCCATGTGTGTAATGGCCATTTGTATAGCCTGTGTGTCTGTGTATGTGTGTGTGAAAAATGTCTGTTTTAGTTTTTTTTTCTTTTCAGCTTTTAAAAATTGGATTGTTTGTCTTCTTATTGGGCTGTAAGAGTTCTGTATGTATTCTGGATACAATGATACAGTTGCTCTGTGATTTGCAGATATTTTCCCCCCCAATCTGTGGCTTGTCTTTTCATTTCATTTTCTTAATGGTGTTTTTTGAGGAGCAAAGTTTTAAATCTTGGTGAAGTTCAGTTTATTAATTTTTTTTTAACGGTTTATGTTTTTGGAGTTATACCTAAGAGATCTTTGCCTAGCCCGAGGTCACAAAGATCTCCTTTTTTTCCCCCTAGAAGTTTTATAGTTTCAGGTCATACGTTTAGCTTGGTGATCATTTGGAGTTAATATTTTTCATGTATGGTTGAGGTAAGATCTAAGGTCATTTTTTTATATGGATATTCAGTTATTTCAACACTATTTGTTGAAAAGACAATTTTTTCCCTATCAAATTGCCTTTGCACCTTTGTCAAAAATTAGGTGACCATAAATGTGAGATTTATTTCTGCACTCCCTTGCCCCATCTCTAGCTGGCCGGCCCCCAGCTGAGGATCAAAGCAGGTGTTAGGACACCACGTCCGAGCACTTAAAGAGAAGGTTGTGTCCGCCGTGAGGAAGGGAGCCTGG